CTGTAATATCTATCTATCTATATACACATCACATGACGTATATTAAATATGCACATATTATCATCTATGCATTATGAAAGCATACCTGTTGTTGCTTTCAACACGTTTTTTCATTTTTTCTTTGTGCTGTCCATTTATTATTTTGGCAAATCTGGGATGAGAGTCCCCAGTGACTGATATTCTTGGGGCCTCATGTGATCTCATGTGGTGCTGAGATTTACCATTATTTACCTACTTTCCCAAGGTTTAGTAGCTATAGTTCCAGTCTTGTTTGCTCGTTTAGGCTATAGCTCTTGTCGTTTCCATTGGGTCGTACTTCACCGACTTCACCTGTCGTTTCCTTTGATTTCACCGCTCCACACATGGCTTGGTGATTTAAAACATCTTCATGTTTATTTGCAACCCTCACCTGGATTCACCTGGGATAATGATGCCCATATTCTTGGTTTGTGTTTGTTGTTTCCTTTTCAACTCATCCCTAGGATATCTTGGGACGGTGGATTTCGTATAGTTGGCTCTTCAGCACCTCCTGTCAGCATCCTGGGTCATCGAAATGTCGCAGATGGAGCCGTCCTTGTCGCAGATTGGCATTTTGGCGGATGTGTATATGGCGCCTTGGAGCCTGCATTGGGGCTTCCATTTTTGCCTCGAAATTGCGAATTTGGGGGGAGTGGTGTCCTCTGGAGGTTGTTCAACCCATGAGACCGGGATCTGTTGTTTCTGTTGTTTCTGTGGTCGGGAGGATTGGTGAGTTTTTCCAGGGTACCCTCTGGTAAACATACAAAAAGCTATTGAAAATTGCCATTTATAGTTGATTTACCCATTAAACATGCTTATTTTCCATAGTTACGCTAGTTTTTCCAGAGGGTATCCTAAGAAAGCAGATTCAGACCAGGACATCTCAAGTGTTTCATGTAAACCAGATAAAATCATGCCTCTATTTATACGTGAGTTTTCGGGTCCGCCGAATCTGGGCGTTTTTGAAAGATTGATGTTACGGTCCTTTTCTACATCCAGGTACAGTCATTTGGGATATTTTGGGATGAAATCCAAGGCTGGAAACAGGGAGTGCCTAGGAAAAACGATTCTGGGAATTTCTGGGAATCCTCCAGAAACACCGAGAAATCTCTAGAGAAAACAGACAAAAACATAGCAAAAACACTTTGCTATTGAAAGCTGGTCCATGTAGCAGTGGATTTGCCATATGATTTACCTATGAAAAAGTGGTCGATTTTCCCATTCGCAAACTCTTGTTGAACTTCAACGAGGTCTCAGGTGCAGATGGACGTCAATGTCAGGCGCAGAGAATTTGACGCGGTTGGTCAGCCTCGAAACGTTGGGGGAAAGCAAGGGAAAATCAAGAAACATGGGGATATTTTAATGGGAATAATGGGAACATGATTGAATGGAATATAATATGATGGAAGATATGATGGTATACCCTCTCTGGCTATGACTAGCAGTAACTGCGAACTGTTTTTTTTCGATGGCCCACTTAGTTCGATTGTGATGAGTTACCTGTTGAACATGGTGAATTTCCATAGCTATGTTAAATCAGCAGAGGGTATCGGTATATGAAATACGAATAAATGCCCAGCCAGTTTCTGGCAGGTCAATGTGATAATCAAGACTCACATTAGTGATTTGTTTTTGGTGTAAATCCTTGATTTGAAAACTGAATACTGAAGCCAGCCACATAGTTCATAGCAATGTTTAATCCCATCCTCTTATGCAACAGCTTCATCTTCCGAGGTCCCCTACATCCACCATGGTTCATGGGGTTCATGGGGACAGCTTACAGCAGCCTCAGGTGGAGGTGAGTTTTGGACCCAAGAGTGGATCCACCAAATGGGCTGCTGGGCGCTGGTAAAAGAACTGGAAGTCTTGAGAATTTGGACCCATACCCTGAAAAAATGCTCCATGTATGGAATATTTGCCAACATTTATCACCACAAAATATGGCAAACATATACATATACATATAATTATATATACATATATAAGTGATATAGTATACACATATACATATATATATATACATATATATATATATAAGTGAATATGTGCAATACATGGAGCATCTGCAATCTCTGACTGAGCAATGAGATCCACCAGATGAGCATTTCCATCCCGAGGTTTCGTCCTCGGAAAGGCTTCAAGATCCATCAGAGGGTCAGGACGAGTTTGAGGATGACCATGTGGAAGGAGACTGTGCTGGAGAGGTCACGACATGTCACGACTGGATCTCCAAGTTTGGTGGGCTCCAGATCTACTCAAAGGTGATCTTGGCTAGGACAAAATGAGAATAATAAGATGAAGAGATGGTGTTCAACCGCATATATATATATAGGGCTCATATATATATAGAAACCGCATAGATCACCAAGCATCTACACCGCTTGGCAGCCGCAGTTGTTGCCCGGATTTCCAGGAGAAGACGAGGGACTCCAAAGCTTTGGTTTCAATGAGAAAAGCGGTCGCATTGAGATGATGGTGGTCATGGCGCCTGATGCTTGATCCAAGCCACAAAAAAGGCATGGCCATTGCCGGTTCCAAAGCCCGACCGGTTACCCTCTGGTAATTTAACATAGCTATGGAAAGATCCACCATTTTTTATGGGAAAACTTACTATAAATGGCCATTGTCAATAGCCATGTTAGTCTACCAGAGGGTATATGTAGTAATTACTTGACGGGTTGTCTGCCTGGAATCCCCAGGAGTTCCTAGAAACCCGAGTCACCAAAAAAAATTGGGAAACCGAGGAAGATCCGAATTCGCAGTCCTCCCTGACCATCAGCTTATACACCAGCGGCTACCTCCATGGTCCCCGGCGAGTGGCAGCTACGAAGTGCAGCCTCAGTGAATTCCTGGAGTGTCATCCGGAAGAACAGGTGGGGGCAACTGACAAGTTGGACAAGATGGGAAATGATCTTGACCGAAGATCGACAGGAAAACACCCCAGTTCCTTGTGATTCGTTGGATCCACTTGATGAGGCTTCGATCTTGAAAACTAATCCATTGGCGGTAGATGATGGGATGTTTTCATATTGGGAAATCTTGATAATCATTTAATGATATATAAGATTTAAGGCCCGTGTTTGAGATCCGCAATTGTATTTCTGAACAAACCATCCTTGCACTCTAGCTATTGGCGCATGAGCCTCACATTTCTAGCTTTTTTTTGGGGGGGATTTTAACTAAATTTTCTGTCAACCCTTGGCTTTTTTGGGTTGTCACCGCCTGGTCATCCTGTTTGAATCCCCATTAAACATGATATAACATGATGTTCGTTGATGTCTCGTTGCCATTCCGAACATCCTTTATGTTTTTTTTGGGGAGGAGCATCCCCACGAAAATTGATGTTTCTCTGGCAGGTGAAGCCACGTTCGATCTCCTTAGAGAGTGTCAGCCATGAAGTTTCCTCTCCTTCAGTCTTGATTGCCATCAAGAAAACCAGGACTTGGACTGCGGCGATCTGAGCCAAAACAGGAGATCACCACGAATCTATAACTGGTTGGTGGTTTGGAACCATGGAATTTTATGACTTTCCATATATTGGGAATTTCATAATCCCAACTGACGAACTCCATCATTTTTTAGAGGGGTAGGTATACCACCAACCAGATGGTTATTAATGGTTATACATGGTTATTAATAATGGTTAATTGTTATTAATGGTGGTTAATGCTGGTTAATATCATTCTTTTGTCAATTTGAAATTCCTGTTCGCTGGGATGATTCTGACATTTGGATAGATAGATGGGATGTTGGTTCCGATTGATCGAGATATCTCTAGATACGGTATATCAGTATGTCACAGAAAATCAGGGGCGACACGTGAGTAGATACAGAAATCATCAAGTGCAGGGAATCACAATCCGTATCAACATATAATATATTAATGTACATGTGCCATGTATATGAAAAACGGTGGCATAATTGAAATGTAAGGAATAGAACTGGGTATAATGGGATGTGAACGGAATATTAATGGGATATAATGGGAGAATATCTGGACAAATCATAACGATCTCACGTTGTGATGATTACTGGAATGGTGTAGATTGGGGGAATCATCCCCAAATGGCCGCAACATGTCAGTTCTTTTCAGCTTAGTAATTTCCTATAATTCAGCCAGAATATATCCCATTAAAGCCCAATAAACTCCATTAAATAATATTAAATCCAATCCCATTTAAATATCCATTAGTATCCATATAATATATAATCCAGCCAGACCTTTCTTTGTGTGGTCAAGTTAGGGCTGGGGGCCTGTGAGCGTGGGATGATATATCATATGTTATTTGTGTGCCTCTATGATTATTTTGCATGATTATACCAATCTGCATATAATATGTATATATAAATAATATATACTGCTGTACATATATATATATATATTATATATACATATTTATTATAGATTTCTATTTTATGTACTATATAGTATATCATTTGATATTTGAATCTGTGTACCTCTATACAACTGCTTGGTGACTTCAAATATGTTAAACGTTCAACCCTGGATGATCTTCAATGACAGTCATATTCTCCGGGGGTTAAACTGGTTAAACCACCAACACATTTTTTGGCAAAAAACCTCAAGTATGGTTAGTTGATGTTAGTTGTTGGTTTAAACAATAATCCGAATCCCTTGATTCTCCCATGAATTTATATGAATTGCCCATATTCTTGTGTAGTTCTCCCATAAATTCTCCCATCATTTGCCATTTTTGAACCATTTTCCATCCCCAAAGTCTGTAGGAACTTCACGGCGCCGCGGAATGCGCGGAAACCGGTGCAGCCGATGGTGTATCTGCTGCGGGCCTACTGCTTCACAGCACGGAGCATCAAGCATTCGAACATCCGAAATGATCAGGAGATTTGGATGGGACTTTTCGCCGATGTTTTTTATGGTTTTTGACGGAGCATTCGGAGTTTTCGCCACATTTGTTGTTGTTAGTCTTTGATGTGATTGATATTGACTGATATTGTTGATGATGGTGTGATTAGACCCCAGTTATGGACCAGTTGTAAATGCGGCAGAAAAACCAGGTGGCATTGAACCCAATTGAACTATATAATTACATCTAATTACTCTAATTCATAATGTGGGGTCAATATGGTTCGATATGGTTCAATGATGTTCAATGTAGGTAAGTGTCCCAGTATTCAGGTCCATACAAAACATATCACATACATATCAGTCTGCATATGTACATGTACATCGCATATCTATACGTATTATATATATATACACACTATATCCCAAAGAATGATTTAGAACCTAGATTCCCATCTTCAGAAAATCTTCGCATACCATGTTTTCAGACTAGAAATTGCTAGAATGATATGTAAACATCTCGCAAAATCTGTCCAGAAAATATGATCACCAGGATACCGCCAGTTTCGGCCTCACTGTGAGCTGCACGGGAATGTCGAAGAGGACCAAGGCAGTTGCAGGCGCGTTGCGGCCTACCTTTGCGGTCGCAAGTTGTGAAGTATGGGAGGTCAAGCAACGCAATATGATGATATATGGGGAGATATGTAATTAATATGATATAAGTTATAAAGTATGTAATATAAATAAATATACATACATACATACAGACAGACGGACGGACGGACGGACGGACGGACGGACGGACGGACGGACATACATACATACATACATACATATATATATATATATATCTATATTTGTATGTACTACATATATAATACACATCATGGGCTTAAGCCAACAGGGATCAGACGTTACTTTCCCCACAGCTGGTGGGTTGATCCTGGGAGGCCCAAGGCCCATGTGGATGCAACCGCTGGAAGTAAAGATCCTACTCTGCTCGGACTCCACGCGTGAAGCTCCGGCCACGGAACCCATCAATGTGACGTTGTGGCAGCAGGGGCAGGTCATGTCCAGCGACGTAGGGAAGGCCACGTGCATCTACTCACACATGCGAAGCCTGGTGATATTTGTTGAGTTTCTTTGTGGTGGTTCCATATTTTTTTGTTGGAGGGTTATTATAAGAAACAAACATGGCGATACATGGTGTGTAAGTTGGTGTGACTCATGCAATGTGGTTGGTTTCATGTACGTGCATATATATATATAATTATATAAGTATATATATAATTATATAAGTATATATATAATTATATAAGTATATATATATAATTATATAAGTATATATATATATAAGTATATATATATAAGTATATATATATATATACACACTGTATATTATGTATATATGCATTGTGTGCATTGTTTCCATCCTTAAATTACTTTACTTCGTGTGATCCCCACCATGGCATTTCTACATTTTCTTACTGGCAAATCTTCTGGCATTCTATCTGACATATCTTCTGACATTCTATTTGACATTCTATCTGGCATATCTTCTGGCATATGATCTGGCATATCTTCTGGCATATCTTCTGGCATTCTATTTGGCAAATCTTCTGGCATTCTATCTGGCATATCTTCTGGCACTCTATCTGACATATCTTCTGGCATTCTATCTGGCATATCTTCTGGCATATATTCTGACATATCTTCTGGCATTATATCTGACATATCTTCTGGCATATATTCTGACATATCTTCTGGCATATCTTCTGGCATATCTTCTGGCATATCTTCTGACATATCTATCTGGCATATCTTCTGGCATATCTTCTGGCACTCTATCTGACATATCTTCTGGCATTCTATCTGGCATTCTATCTGGCATATATTCTGACATATCTTCTGGCATTCTATCTGACATATCTTCTGGCATATCTTCTGGCATATCTTCTGACATTCTTTCTGACATTCTTTCTAACTTTCTTCTGCACATTCTTTGTCCCATATCTTCCTACATGAGGTCCGGCAGGGAACACTTGGCGTGGATACTCGCGGTTGAGGTCCGGCAGGGAACAATGGGCGTGGATGGTCGTGGTTGAGGTCCGGCAGGGAACACTGGGCGGGGATGGTCGTGGTTGAGGTCCGGCAGGGAACACTGGGCGTGGATGGTCGTGGTTGAGGTCCGGCAGGGAACACTGGGCGTGGATGGTCGTGGTTGAGGCCCGGCAGAGAACACTGTGGATCGCAGGTCGCAGTTGAGCAAGGACGACGAGGACGACGAGGACGACGAGGAGGACGAGGAGGAGGAGGAGAGGAGGACGAGGCAGGAGGAGGCGGAGGAGGAGGAGAAGGAGGAGGAGAAGGAGGAGAAGGAGGAGGAGGAGGCAACTGACATAAAATCTAACAACCCTCACCTGGCAGGTGGGGAAAAAATAGGACACTGATCTTAAAAAAACCCATCCCCCATCCATTAATTGGGGCCATCTTTGGGCTCAATTCCGAGGAAAGAGAGATGTGACTGGACGCTGGGAGCCCTTCTACCTGTCGCCCCAATGGATCAAGCTCTACGGCGAACAGGGCTCCAGTCGCCACGTTGGATCCTTGCTGTGTCCTGGATTCGCTGAGTCTTTAGGCAGGCCTTTTTTGTTTTCCCGGGAAATATGGTAACTACTTGGGAAAAGCAACTAGCTGGATACATGATAAGTTTATATGTTTAGTGGGTAAAACTGGTAAAACAAGAATTTTGACCAGCCATATGGATTGATTTATGATACCAGCCATTGATTTAGTGATGACTCGGGGATGTGGATTCTTGGTTTAGCCATGCAGCAGATCTAAGGATTGGCTTCGAGCTGTTGCTCTTCAAGCATCGCCACGAACCCTTTCTGGCTGCCAAAGATATGTGGCCACATTTCAAGGAGATATGTGGCCACAAACGGTGGGATTGAACATGATTGAACTATAGTCAGTGGTGACTTAATGGGGTTCAATGGGTATTTCATGTGGATATAATGGGATATGTAATGTAACCAACTGTATGAGTTGGGTGTGTTTGAAAATGGAATATACCCTAAAAGAAAGAAGTTGGAAGGGAAATGATCTAAATTGTCAGTGGGTTTAGGGATAGCCTATTTTCAGCCACACCCCCGGAGTTTTTTTTCCATCTCCCCCCAAAATGGGATGTTGTTTTCATTGATTTCTTGTTACCCATAGGAAATCCATACCCTTTAGTAGTTACGAGCAAGGCCGACATACTGTATTGTGGCTATTGTTCCCCCACCATTCACTTACTGGTGCTAAACGCAGGGAAATTTCGGGAATGATCCACAATAACTAGTAATAATCATCCCAGCAATCCCCAGCAACCCATCCATTCCCTACGTTTAGCACCAGTAAGTTCAATCACCCCCCCCGAAAAATCAGCACCCCCATTGTACCAAAGCCTTGGTACAATCTAGTGGACCAAGGGGGATTGCGGTGTGGAAGTCCAAAAGTGTATCCATTCAATCTGGTATATGATTATTATATGGTTATATGGTTATTGTATGGTTATCATTTATCATATCCCATCTTGTTGGGTGTTATCAACTTACTGTATATCCTGATGAAGCCTCCCAAAAATTGCCATGAGAGGCTTATGCCCCGCCATCTTGGCCAGAAGTCACCCCCAAGTTGACCCCTTCCAAAAGAAAGTCATCAAATTCAGTGTTCCCCGCAACTTTTAATTGTTTTTTTCCGCAAAAAGTTACCCAACCATCCATTTTCTGAGGATTTTCAAGATCAACTGAGCAAATTGTCCAGGCTTTTCCCATGTTTTTCCCCTAACTTTCTCAAAATTTCCAGGTCCCAAAGCAGCCAGGAGACCTACGACCAGCGGCACCACTTGTGTCGCCTGCGCAAGGCCACGCTCCACTTCTCCCTGCTGGGCCTGCGCGACGTGGCGCCGCTGCCCCGAGTGGAGGCGCTGGGCTCGGCCGGCGGCACCGTCCACGCGGAGAAGCCCAGCGTCACGGTGGAGGTGGTGCAGTTCGTGGCGCCGGAGGAACAGAAGGATGCCGGGAAGGCGGCGATCTATTTGAATCTGGTTGGTGGTTGTTGGAACATGTTGGAACTATGGAAAGATCCACCACTTTTAATAGGTAAACCATGGTAAACCAAGTATCAATGGCTCATGTTCAATAGCTTTGTTAGATTAGAGAGTATATGGATAGTAGATGAAGAAGAAGATGATGATGATTTTTCTCAGGATGTTCATGGATTTTCACCGATGTTCGGGATTTTTCTTCGAGAATTTTCGGAGGTTCTCATATTTTCCCGATGATTTTCCTAGATACTCCCAAATGGATGGTTTAGCAGTGCACATCACACATGCAATACAAATGCAATACAAAGGGATATGATGGGCATATTTGAGTTTCTTTGACGAGTAGGATAAACAAAGAAAAATCTCAACACGAGAAAATCATGTTCCCAGATTTTGACGGCACCACCTTGGACGGCACCCATGGGTAAAACAACTCTGAAAACCATGGGGAATCAATGGGAAAATCCATGAAAATCCACATGATTTTGGACAAAACCCATGGGGAAAATGATGGGAAAATGACACATGAAAACCCCGAATCCTCCTCCCCCAAAAAAAACGCTGCGACCTGGGGCCCAGTGCCAGGCGCGAAAGCTGGAGTTTCACTTTGGCGAAGCTCACCAGGATCCTGCGAAGATGAAGCGGATGAAGCCCTGGGTGTCCACCATCCATGCGGGCAGTGGCAGGGCCAAAAACTTTGATTTTTTGGAAGCTGGGAAATTGCAATGTCTGCTTCCAGAGACTTGGATTTTTTGAGAATTCTGAAAATAGCTTTTCCGATTTTGCTGCTGTGAGTCCCTGGTTTTTTCCTGTAGATTTCCAAAGATCTTCAAAGAATATCTCTTGATCGACCTGAAATGATGTTTCCCGATATCTTCTGAAACATCTCCCGGACGAGATTTCTTTGATGTTTTTCCTATAATCTTATGCAATTTCATGATATATCATCTCAATATCCTCATCAATATTCCATAAATTTCCACAAACATCTCCCATGAATCTCCACAAAAAGTCTGGCCCCCGTGTTTTTCTTGACCCCATGGCCGTGTTTTCTTGATTTTTCTTGACCCCTGAATTCCAAAAAATCTACAAGGAGAAGGGTGTCTTGGAACCCTACCTGGTGATCCGCGTCTCCGAAGCTCCTAGCGCCGTTGGCGCCTCCTTAGGCTACGAGCCCTACAGTGTGGGAGAGGCCTTGGTTAGTCTGGAGGACCGCAGGCCCTGCTGTGCCCTGGACGTAGACGTTGACGGCATGACCTGATCTTCCCCAGTTGATGCAGCAGGAATCAATGATAATCATAGGGGGAATCAATGAATCGAAGGTTTTGGTGAACTGTTTTTTTTTTTCCGGGTGGTATGTAAAGAAAAGTAGAAAGGGGAGTCGATCTTTCATTTGGGAAGAGTTTCTATAATTTTTTGGGGTACCCTCTGGTAAACAAGCATGGCTATTGAAAATGGCCATTGATAGTTGATTTACCCATTGAAAATGGTGATTTTCCATAGTTATGTTAGTTTACCGGAGGGTACTGAGAATCTACCCAACATATCCCAACGATGGCTGCCCAAGGTTGGTTCGAAGGGATCAGCCTCAATAAGAGTTATGCCTCGCAGCAGGGCCTGCTGGCACAAGCAGCAAACAAGAGCCATGGCCAGGCGGGTCTGATATGGATGGATGGCGAAAAAACAGGTTTAAACATGTTCAAACATTATGTAAATTCAATTTAATGTATTTTGACATCAGATTATTTTGATATTATATTTTTGATGACTCCGGCCGTGTTTAAAATTTGTTGGATGGTTGAGAATCAAAAAGGACACAACAATGTGTGGGGTGGGGCTTTGGTGACATCTCCAGTCATCTCAACACGTTCAATCATTGTTTTACTGTTTGCGAGTTTGGACTCAAAAGTGCAACATCATTTTTTATCAGTATAATCGCGCATTTTTGAACGATGAATTTTGATTGTCAAAGATATGTAATGTAACTGACATTTCCAGCTTGTGCAAAACCTCAAAGATGTGCGCTTTACTTTCAGATAGATTCACACGCGCTGGTTTCAAAAAAAACACTTCTTGTGGCTCTCCTCAGGGCCAAGGATATGGACCAGATTTTTTTCAGATCTTCAACCCATCTTCAACCCATCTTCAACCCATCTTCAACCCTTCAACCTCAGTTTTTCTCCCATCCTAGGCTCTGGACAAGGAGAAGTACCAGGAAGAGACCGAAGAGGAGCTCCGCCGCGAGATCCTCCGCCGCCGCTCGGCGGCGGCGCGCCGCGGCGCCCCCAAGGAGGTCGCGGTGCAGGACGCCCTGCAGGCGCCCAGCGACGTGGCCTTCCTGGACCCTGCCGGGGTCCCGGAACCCCTGCGAAACGCAGTGAGGAGGCCAATGGCGCTGAGCTGTAAGGAGATCAACATGCAGAACCCCTCCAGCTTTTCACCACGGCCAGGGGCCAAGATTAAGTCCATTGCGGCAAGGAGTGTGGTGGATGGAGCCTTGGAAGATTCTGCAGATGGGACCTTTGACACCAGTGACTTTTGGTACAAGTCCTTGCGACTGGCGAAGAATGAGGATGTGACTGGCCTGGAGTTTTTGCCAGTCCAAACTCACCTTTTTCCATCCATAGCTGCAATAGCTCGATCTGCTGTTTGGTTGGCTTCTCTTTTCCATCCCATTCCATGCCCATTCCATGCCCAACGAAATGGTCACGTGGATATTTGTTAAGTGATGTTCCATCATGTCCATCCCCAGAAAAGTGCGACCATGACCCCCAAGCAATAGGGTTGCCTCAAGTTATTTATTGCAGGTAATTAAATTTAAATGATAGCGCACAAGGGGTGAGGGAAGTCAATCGGTTATGTTTACCTCTCTGCTATTCTCTACTGATTACATCTGATTACAGTATTCAAATCTTTAGTCAATGTTATTTATCAAGTTTTCCAAGTTTTTCAGGGCAACCAGAGAAATCAGCCACCTTGACCAGCCTTGACCGGCCGAAACAGGTGATGTCCGGCAACGATTGGCACTTCCGTGCTGCCTGCGCTGGCTTCGTGAAGTGTGCGTTCAAATTGGTGGATGGCTGGGAGAATGTCCAGCAGGAGGGTGAGGATGCGCTGAACGACGAGGAGGTGAGCTTTTACGCCGGAGATGTGAGTTGATATCTTTCGAGATCAAACCTGTTTTTTTTCGATCAGATCAACCATGGTAAAACCAGATGTCTCATTTTGATTCATTTTGCTTCTCAAAAAACGAGTTCTAATGCCTTCAGAAATACAGAAGTTATACTTGTTACCCCCCAGAAAAAACTCCCAAGTCCCCCAGGACTCGGAGGGCGAGGAGGAAGAAGACCTTTCTCCCACGCACCAGGTGGTGGAAGACGTCAAGGCTGTCGAGTCCAGAGGTGCCACCCCCAAACAACAGGTATTGTTTTGGTAGAAGTCACCTCCAAAGAACAAAAACAACAGGTATAAACGATATAGTAAATTGATGTAAATGGATGTAAATGGATATAAATTGATGTAAATTGATGTAAATGGATGTAAATTGATGTAAATGGATGTAAAACGGTGTAGAGTTCATTTGGCAACGGAACGTTAAATGAAGTGAGAAAAAATCCAAGTGACACAGATACGCCCACCAAACTTGCTTGAGTACTTGAGTATAGAGAGGTACTACTACGATGATACGGTTTATAAATACTGAAGATGTTCTGTTGCGAACAGGTGATATTTTGAGGTTGAAGAGCTCTTATGGCTTGGATCCAATACTGGATGGCTTCGCATTTTCCACGGAGACCTTGTACCAGAGATATCGCGATCCTGAACATGTTCCACCTCGAATTCGAGCTCGATTGTATTTGGTGACTTGGAGATCCACTTGGAGTGCAGTCGTCTCATTTTGATCGTTTTTTTGGGGGATTTACCCTCTGGTTATTTATATATATATATTTATAACATAGCCATGGTATAGATGGCCCATAGAAATAGATTGTTTACCTATTAATAGCACGGTGGATCTTTCCAGTTCGCGAGCTGGCAATGTCATAACCAAGTTGGCTTTCACAGATACTATAATCTATAGTACTAACATCATCTAACATGGCGAACTGTTAAATAACCAGATGCTAGTGTATATCGGAGGCTTTTGCGACGACATCAAAACCGAATTCGGACCAAAGTCCTTGTTTCGAGGGGCCCAAGATTCTGCAGTCAGTCTTGTGAAGCATGAATAAGGGGTCAAAAGATAGACACTTAATTCACTTAATTGTGAAAAGTCGATAGGTCCTACTGTATACAATTTTGCGTCAAATTGCTACACTAGTTGAGTCCATACAATGGTTCCATGTTTTTTTTTTTGTAACGTTTCTGTCTTTTTCTTATGGACTCCGGCTTGCGTGTCGCAGTTCTTTCACCGAGGTAAAAGCCATTTTGATTGGCCCCAGCGGTGAGAATCCAGATCCCTTCTTGGAGATTCAACTGGGTCGAGAGACCAATATTCAGATGCGAAACATGGTCTCTCGCCATCTGAAACTGCAGAAAATGGTGATTGATGTGGCGATTTTTTTCGCGCAGAAAACATGGTGATGACTACCTTTAAAACTATAAGGTTTTATATAAATGGATTTAAATGGATTTAAAATGATTTAACATGATTTAACTATATAGTTAGGAGATGTTAGGGGATGTTATGGGATTCTAACTATCAAAACTGGGGATTTAACATGATTTAACTTTAGTTGCGGGGTTCTAAGCATCAAAAACTCGGGATTTTTCATTTATCATTGTGATCCACTATGGAATTCAAAGCAACGTTCTTGTGATTTGTTTGGTCCGACAACTGGTGAAATAAAAATAGGTCGGATTCACCGTTTTTTCTGGTGCTGTCGCATCAATCCAACCCATTTGCAATTAGCTTTACCACATGGAACTATAATGTTCTATGTGCGTTTAAGACAAGCCAGATGTTTTTTTTTCGATATGTTGAAGATCCTCCAATTTCGTGCGGCAATGGAAGGGAAGATCTCTACCGGACTCTAGCCACCCGGACTCTAATTCATATGGTCAAACAACTTGTTGTTTTTTCAGGTGTTCTCTCCCATATTTCCATTTTCGCAAAAACTCCGTGGTTATTGTTTCATCCCGTGGGATAAAAAACTGATTTTTACTGTGGGATGTGGGATTTCATGATGAATGGCCAATAATCCCATGGTTAAATGGGATTATGTGGGATTATGTGGGATTTTCCCATATTTTCCCATATTTCATGGTGGTTTTTGAATCCTCAGTGGCTGCTACGGTGGCACTTCAACAAAGGTGCAGATGGGCACTACCACCCCGGATTTCCACCGGATGGAAGCACGAGACATCCAGATGCCCGAAGACTCACGCCTGGAGGCGCGGCCGATGCGGTCAATTCGGCCGTTTAAAACGGGGAAATGCTCATCCAGTGAATCCAGTGGTCCCAGTGGTTGAGATTCTCTGGTGAATTCTGGTGAATTCTGGAGGGTTGAGATGACTTTTTCGATGGGAAAGGATAGATGATGATTTTTTGATGAACATTCATTGACATTGATCAAATATGATGTTGCAATATCATTAATATCTGAATATCTGGTTAGTTAGATGATAAAACTTGATGAACATTGATTGACATTGATCAAATATGCTTCAACTATGTTAAACATCATTATAAGTATGGTTTACAGTAGGCTATTTTTAATCGTTTTTTAGTAAGTCGCGGGAACCCTTAAAAAACCCAGTTCACCCAGCGGCACGGCAGGTGACGGTGAGATCTCTGCAAGACCTCGCGCTGCAAGATCCCATACTTGGTGGCCCCTGGGACATTCCAAGTTGTGTTTGTAGAGCTTTTTGGAGGGAGCAGTTGGGAGTTACTGTTAGTACTAACGTTAGTACTATAGTATCTGTTACCCTTTGGTTATTTAAAGTAGCCATGGAAAGATCCACCATTTGTAATAGGTAAACCATCTATAAATGGGGAGTAATTTACTGTTAGTACTAATGTTAGTACTCATGTTAGTACATGTTAGTACTATAGTATCTGTTACCCAACTGTTTACTGTTAGTAGATGTTAGATGATGTTAGTACTATAGATTATAGTATCTGTGAAAGCCAACTTGGTTATGACATTGCCAGTTCGCGAACTGGAAAGATCCACCGTGCTATTAATAGGTAAACCATCTATTTCGATTAGGGTCATCGAAAAACCATGCCTATGTTATATAAATAACCAGAGGGTATATATATATATATATGATATAGATTCCCTTCTATATGATATATATGATATAAATATATATATATATATATGATATATGATGTATCCATATTTCATCAATAGATTCCCTTTGGTCATGAGGTTCAAATCGCCTCCAGGCACAGTCATCGATTTGGAAGATCGCTGGCATTCGGGGGCCTGGCAAAAGGCCAACAGGACTGCAGGGACTGCAGGGACTGCAGGGTTTCACTGGGCAAATGTTTTTTGATTCATCACTTGCGACCCATTGCCACTGGCATTCTACGATTGTTTCATATGATGTCATATCAATTATGCCCCAATCTCATGAAACACCTACGTATATATTATATATATATAGATCATTATAGATCATTATATATATCTAGATCAACTTTCAGGGAAAGCATTGTCCTTCACGTTTGGTCCGCATTTGGGTCACCCTTGCAGGGTGCAGATGGTGCCAGTGGAGAACAGGCGGAACAGCGGCCTATCAGAGAAAACGGTTGTTGCAGGGTGTGAAAAAGAAGACGTTTCTTACTTCATGTCCTATAGCTAGCTTTCAACATTTCTATCTATTTGGGGGCTGCGCTCTCTCTCTCTCTATATATATATATATATAAATTATATAAATAAATAAATAATATTAAATAAATACATATATATATATATTATATACACATATTATACATATTGTACATGGGTCCGACCCACTAACAGTGGTTTGTGAAGGTTGACATGTCATCCCCAAACAAACGCGTTCTGACGTGATCACTGGTAGTGATTGGAGGATATGTCCAACATTGTCTAACTAACATTCATATAATTTTCCATATAATATACTGTACACGTATCATAGATAAAGACATCCATATTACTAGTAGTTAGATATCATGTGTCCATATTATAGGGCCTATAGGGTATTAAGACTTCTGGGCCTGTTGTTTGGATGAACATCTATCAGCTATTTTGATGAAAAAAAGTGGGCCTGAGATCCCAAGGGTGCCCGTGACCCAGGCCAAGTCCAGGAACTGGGTATTTTCATGGGATTTTCCATGAAATACCCTCTGGTAAACTAACATAGCTATTGAAAATGACCATTGAAATAGTGAGTTTTCCCATTAAACATGGTGATTTTCCATAGTTATGTTAGTTCACCAGAGGGTAAACCATCCAGCGATAAAGGGGTCCCCATATTTTAGGACACCTCCATAGAGCATCTGTTCACCAATTAGCTTGAGGTTTTCACGACAGGTTCCGGATATGGTTTCGACTCAGCCAGGCCCTTGTTCAGCAAGGAACAGCCTGGGAAGAGTTGTGGAACACTTGAGATGCCCCTCGGGCTGACGGGAAAAAGCGGCTGACATTTGCTCCTAAAAACCTAGCTGGTTCCAAAAAAGAAAGCCCTGTTGATTTTCAGCATCTGTGAAAGCTGGAAGATCCTTTTTTTTTTTGTCCCACAATCATCCATGTGATTCTGCCAATGAAGCACCTTCAAAGCCATAATCATCCATAGTCCATCTATGATGGTTCGAAGATGTTAAACCAACTGGTCTCCGGGGATTTTCGAGCAGTTTATACGTTTTTTTTGGTTTCAACTGTTCAAAAACAACATATTTATATAAATATATATAATAGATAAGCATAATATAGATAAACATGATATAGATAAACGTAGATATGTTCAGTATCCTTTTCCATATCTCAAGACATCTCCCCAGACATTTTCCCCATGGGTTTTCCCAGGTGGGTTGAGATGATCGAGAGCTCAGAGGCGGCCAACATGAAACCCTCAGCTCTGGTGAAACCGCCGCAGCTGGAGTCGCTTGATGACAGCTGGTTGGTGGTTAATAATGGGTCACTAATGATGATTAATCATGGTTAATCATCATTGATCATGGTTAATCATGGTTAATAATGGTTAATTTAATGGTTAATCATGGTTAATTTAATGGTTAATAATGGTTAATAATGGTTAATAATGGTTAATAATGGTTAATAATCAGCTGATAAAGTGGTTTCAAACATGAATTTTATTTTCCATTTCATATATGGGATGTCATCCTTCCCATTGACGAAGTCCATCATTTTTTAAGATGGTTAAAACATCTTAAAACCACCAACCAGTCAGCTGGTTGGTGTTATTTATCAACATGAAAAGTCACGGATTCTGGTGGGATTTGATGGGTTTTAACGGGGATTTCACGGGGTTCATGGGAATATACTAGGATAGTTGTCAACGTGGCTAGCTGGGAATTCCCCGAACTGTTTATGGATGTTTAATGTTTAAGATGAGAAAGAACAGCGCACGAAAAAACTGTGGATTTTCCAGCCATTTTTCAGTGCCAGAGGGGTGCCAGAGGTATGTAATTTGTCAAAACATGTGAAAACTGTATCTATTTCAAGTTCAAGTGTATAATATCCATACATATCCTACTGAATGGCTATAGGTTACAGTAAGACTCTAACATGGGCCCAGAAAGGGGGCCCATGGTTTTCGATTTCGGATTTTGAGGGATGAAAATGGGTATACCGGTAGACCGGTAGACCTTGATGGGAAAACCTTGATGAGTTTATCATGGGATTTGGGGGGTTCGGGGTCCGGTATCGACATCAGGTTCTCATGTCGAGGATTGTCATGTCACATAGGCCCCGGAATCCGCCTTTACCTGGGTGCTGTGGCGGATTCCATAGGTTTTCCGAGTGTGGCTGGTATTGAAGACCCGCAATTTTTGGAATCACAGCAGCCTACCAAAACTGAACCAACTGAACGCAATCAGAACAAGTCATGTTTGCGTTTCTTGCATTTGCATGTTTTTTCCTCACCTGCCAGGTGAGAGCCTCTAGATTTGAGCAAAGGTGCAACTCCTTCCTCCTCCCCTCTTCCTCTGCCAGCTCCTGATGCTGTGGAGGGCGCCTGGACCCGAACACATGCCAGAGAGAATGTCAGAAAGAGTGTCAGAATAGATGCCAGATAGAATGCCAGAAAGAATCTCAGAAAGAATGTCAGGTAGAACGCCTAGATGCAAGATATAATGCCAGAATGAATGCCTGAAAAGATGCCAGATACAATGCCAGAATATATGCCAGAAAGATCCAGAAAGTATGTTAGATTTTTTGCTGAATATCAGAATAGATGCCAGAAAGAATGTCAAAAATACATGCCAAATAGAATGCTAGAAATAATGTCAGAATTTATGCCAGATGGAATGCCCGAAAGAATGTCAGTGGAAAAAAGGGCTGCGGACGTGATTGCCATTTTGGCACTACTCTCTTCTTGTTGTTTGGTTGCACACTTGGAATCTTAACAGTTGTTGAAAATGCCACGGGGATCACTCGAAACAAAGTAATTTTAGAAACGGCCCTCTAAGGTTAGAAGCGCGTTTGGTGATTTGGAGCACGGATCGGGTAAAGTTGATGCGCCTCGGATGTGTAGACGTTGCATGAGGCCTGTTTGAGCAATTGGAGAGTGCCTGGGTCCTGGGTTGTCAAAATTCCGTAAATGATTTTTAAACATTTCCAAGTCAAGTTTACTCAAAAGGACCAGTGCAAGTTGTACGGCATTGTTGTGCAATCAATCCCACTATTTAGGTCTCTATCCCCCCTCAAAAAAAACATGTTAATCAATGCCATTCACTTCTAAGGATCCAAGATGATTCACCATCAGCGTGAGTGAACGGAGTGCACACTCCGCAGACTGCTTTCCCGCATTTACAGTTTGTAAGCTTCGGCCATTTGTTGGATTTGACCTGAGGAACGAAGAAGCAACCAACATCCGAATCAAGACCCAGCTGGACTGCAAAGAATACATCGGAAACTACCAAGCTTTGCAAGAGACTGATGTCCCCTGGCGCATGATGTGCTTGTGACGGGGATTGGTAGCGGATCTACTCACCAGCCTTCAGCTCAAGCATTGATGAAGTGTGGGGTCTCCGTTTTTTTGAATCCCCATCCACTAGAGGAGTCACTAGAGTCACTAGAGTCACTACATTTTAACATATTTGAACACACATTCGAAACAGTTCATCAATATATATATATATATCAACAATTTTAAATGTTCATCTCAGGTTCACTTCAACTCCAAAGATGGCAAGGGTGTCTTCAACTGGCGTATGGTCTATCCCCGCATCAAGATGCCTACGTGGTCCTGCACTTTGACGGTGGGCCTTTACCACTCAGAGTGTCTCGGAAAAAGTCACGTCACGGCTTTCGGGTTTTGCTGGTCGCCCAATAGCTAAATTGGTGAACTTTTTAGTCCACTTTCAACCAATGTCACTATTTGTTTTTTTGGCAATTATACATGAAATTAGAACATAGTTGAATATAGTTTGAAAAAAAGTTCGTGGATTGGATGTGGGCTTTAAGGCAACTCAGTAAAGAACATCACGGCCCCCCGGGCCAAAACCGGTCAGGATGCTGTCGGATACCTTCCTGGGCAGCTTTGACCTTGACCTGAAGAAGTACCTGGAAAGGCAGCCGGGCAACGTGGTTTATTGCGGCTGGGTGACTGACTGGGGATCATAAAAATGATGATTTTAGGAACCACCCATTTCGGGATTTTTTTTTTTGGTGACTATATGAACTATCAGAATTACCACTATTAGTCAAGTTATCATCCTACGATCAGCAAATAACTATTGATTAATAGTGATCACCAGGTAAACTATCAGAGTTTGCGAATGTGAACATCGCTGGTTGGTGGTTTGGAACATTTTTTACTTTTCCATATATTGGGAATATTCATCCCAACTGACTTTCATATTTTTCAGAGGGGTTGAAACCACCAACCAGCAGAGTTTGCGAATGTGAACATCGCCGTTGTAAAAAAAAAGGAATGTTCACTGGAGGGATCTGGAGGGTATTTTAGATATGGAATTCACTGCTGAGTTTCTCAGCAGCCCCAGATCAACTGAGCTCCAACGATCTCGTTGTGTTTGGCCGGCCGGCCAATCTATCAGGGATTTATGGCACTGTTTTGAGATGTTTTGAGTGGGAAGTTCTTGTGTGCTAGTTTCTTTGCGAAACTAGAGATATCAGAGGATTTGTTTTTTCCCCCACATTTTCCATCATCTTCCCACATTTTCCCCAGACTTTCCCCAGGTTTTCCCCAGGTTTCCCTCACATTCTGCGGCAGCGCAGGGTGGCACGCGACTCGGATGCCGTGACCGTGGGCCCCAGCGACCTCAGCTGCTTCAATGATGAGGAGACCATCCTCCCAGGATGTCTCTTTCTGGGGTGTTAGTTGGTGCTGAAGCAACTACCCTCTGGTAAACATACAAATAACTATGGAAAATCAATGAAAATCACCCATTTTCAATGGGAAAACTCACTATTTCAATGGCCATTCCAACTTCTGTATTACCCATAGGATCCATGGTGCTGGTATATAATGGTATATATACTAACATAAAGGGGGTATATTGATGGGATCCATGTTACCATTTTCTTGCATACATGAATCCTATGGGTTGTGGTATCAAGGGTATAACTGAGTGAAAAACTGGTATATTAACTACTGCTATAAATCTATAAATGTTAATGTGTGTTAATGTTTGTCAATGTTTCTTAATATGCCATGAAAAAGTCTATCATCAATATCCCATTATCATCCATTAGCATCCATTAATGATTTTCCCGTAGTACCCAATCACCCAAGGTATATTAGCGGGTTTCTTAAGTCATGGTCATTCATGACTTGGATGATTTGGGCATCTCGGGAAAAAAAGGATGTGGATTCCAAGCAATGTCATAAACCATCCCCCAGTCATCACCATGTTTATAGGTGGTATGAACCATTCCCAGTCATGGGTGGTTTATTCTTGTTTTACCCACATTACTTGTTTTTTTTTTAATTGCACATATTGGGGACCCTTTTGGAAAGTGTTGTGAAGGTTATAAATCATCTTTCAATCAACTAAAAGGGCGTCGCATTGTGTTTGGAAATGATTGGAACATGTGTCATGCTTGGAAGATGTTGGAAGATGTGGAAGATCTGAAAGAACTTGGCTGTTGAACTTTGGTGTATCTCAACCACTGGTTGGTGCATTCAAGCCAGCCCAAAGACAACAGTTCTACGGATGTTTATCCGTTTTTAGGGCTGCAGAATGGAAGCAAGAAACACATACTTGAAACATCTCAGAAACACCAACTAACATAACTTTCCAAGTCCTATGTAGAAAGACTCATCTTTCCCCCAACTCAAAACTGCAGTCTCAGCGCAACGCAGAGGAAGAAGTGGGCTCTGTGAACATGACACTCTATGTCTGACCCTTAGGATCCAGTCATCCTCAACTTGAAACACCCACAGGATCCCACAGGATCCCTAGGGCAGAATTGCTGTGAGGTCCTTACGCAGGCAGAGGCCTGTGTCCGTCCTTCCTAGGGCATGTCCGGAGCGGGGAAGTTCAGCCACGGTTGAGGTCCACGATTCGACTATCCACAATGACTATCCCCATATTTGGGTGAATCTCACCCATTGAGCTTTGAACACAAGTGAACACAAGTTCCTCAAAATTCGATGCTTTATCAATGTCTATACATGTTGCATGTTGTTTCACCGTTAAAATTCGGCCTGAAATTGACATTTAAATTTATCATCCAAGTTTTGGACCAAGCCACGGATTTGGGGATGGTGAGCAACCAGTGAATGTAATCCCAATGTTTTATGCGAAGCGACCCCCATAGGATTGGTGACATCCCCGATGTCAAGCCAGGCTCATGGACGCCGCGTGGGCATTGCGCGTGAAGAGCCGAATGAGAACCCGCAGTTGCTGACGCCCACCGAAGGCGAGATGATCGAGATGGGATCATTTTCAACTTGTCTGTCATCAAACGTGGACCGCTGGAAACTCCCCAAACGAAATTCAGCTTTAGTTCGCTGGGAAAATCAACGAACTCAGTGGTGAATTGTCAAGCAAGCCACGGTTCCAAAAAACTGGAGGGTAAACCCAATTTGGTCAATCCTGCGGATAATTTCCCGGAATAACATTTTGAGGATTGATGATCTGAGATGAAATCGCGATTTCGTGGATTTGGTGGACGGATTTTGCAATAGGCTTGGGTTCCATTGGCTCATCTACAGCGCTAAAACTGGTTTGGTGAATGGCACATAGGAATGGTGAAATCATGTTGCGTTCCAATGTTGGTATAGTTAAACCGAGCCTCCATAAAATCCCATAAAAATAGGTACAACATGGTACAACTATTTAAAAAAACCCATGGGGTAGAAAGAATATTTCTTTCTTTGGATGTTTTTTTCCCCACCTGCCAGGTGAGGGTTGTTAGATTTTATGTCAGTTGCCTCCTCCTCCTCCTTCTCCTCCTTCTCCTCCTCCTCCTCTCCTCCTCCTCCTCCTCGTCCTCCTCGTCGTCCTCGTCGTCCTCGTCGTCCTTGCTCAACTGCGACCCGCGATCCACAGTGTTCTCTGCCGGACCTCAACAACGACCATCCACGCCCAGTGTTCCCTGCCGGACCTCAACCACGACCATCCACGCCCAATGTTCCCTGCCGGACCTCAACCACGACCATCCTCGCCCAGTGTTCCCTGCCGGACCTCAACCACGACCATCCACGCCCAGTGTTCCCTGCCAGACCTCAACCGCGAGTATCCACGCCAAGTGTTCCCTGCCGGACCTCATGTAGGAAGATATGGGACAAAGAATGTGCAGAAGAAAGTTAGAAAGAATGTCAGAAAGAATGTCAGAAGATATGCCAGAAGATATGCCAGAAGATATGCCAGATAGAATGCCAGATAATATGCCAGAAGATATGCCAGATAGAATGCCAGATAGAATGCCAGAAGAATTGCCAGATAGAATGCCAGAAAATATGCCAGAAGATATGCCAGATAGATATGTCAGAAGATATGCCAGAAGATATGCCAGAAGATATGCCAGAAGATATGTCAGAATATATGCCAGAAGATATGTCAGATAGAATGCCAGAAGATATGTCAGAATATATGCCAGGAGATATGCCAGATAGAATGCCAGATTGAATGCCAGAAGATATGTCAGATAGAGTGCCAGAAGATATGCCAGATAGAATGCCAGAAGATTTGCCAGATAGAATGCCAGAAGATATGCCAGAAGATATGCCAGATCATATGCCAGAAGATATGCCAGATAGAATGCAAAATAGAATGTCAGAAGATATGTCAGATAGAATGCCAGAAGATTTGCCAGTAAGAAAATGTATAAATGTCATGGTGGGGATCACACGAAGTAAAGTAATTTTTAATTTTCGGATCTACTCAGGTGTTGTTTGTGAAGAAAACCCATCATTTCTTGGCTAAAAATTCCCAGCGCAACCGCGGCTTGGCTACCGAGCCCATCCGAGCCCAAAATTCCCAGGTCGCGACTGGGGCACCTACCTTTCAGCCTTCGGTGGCCTGGAAGAAGGGATTTTCTTCGGGACATACCCTCTGGTTATGTCAAAATAGCTATTGAAAATGGCCATAGAAATAGTGGATTTTCCCATTAAAAATGGTGATTTTCCATAGTTTTCTGTAAACGTTTACCAGAGGGTACATGCCAATATTGAATCCATGGGATGATATTAAGAGATACTTTAGATATCTTTATATATAGTATCAAATGTAAGTATCTGGTTGGTGGTTTGGAACCATGGAATTTTATGACTTTCCCATCATATTGGGAAGAACCATCCCAACTGACGAACTCATATTTTTCAGAGGGGTAGGTCAACCACCAACCAGTGATGTTATTTCACGCTGGAGATACAACCAATGATACGAGTGGAATTGAATCGCGCCGCCAATCTTGCCGCGAGTGGATCTGCCACCCCAGGCCAGATTGGATCTATCTCGGCTCCGCCACCTCCCGTTCGTATGTCCTAAGAGTCCTAACAATGATATTGGCTGATACAATCTCAATATCTACATTTATATATTGGGATGTTATACGATTTTATGTTGGTGAATGATCTCCCTGGTTTCTTGCTGGCGTTTTGAGACTGTACATGATATGAGATTTTCTTGGCCACCTCCTATTCTCATATCCTGTCTATTGTGGGTTGATGTTGCGCAAGTTACTGTATACCACCATAGTTTGAACGATCCGCACAAGTTGTTGATTTGACATGGTTTAAATACCATGTCCTGTTGGTGAACGATCGCCATGTTTTCAAACGTTTTCTCTGTTGCTTGCTCACTGGACCAAGGATTTGCATGGCCCGATTTCGGTCTGTGGAAGAAGAGACTCGGTGGCGATCACTTTGTCAAATGTCTAGCAAAACATGAGGTATTATGTATAATTAAACATTGTATAAACAAGGTCAAGACGTCAACAATGAACTGGACGGTATGCTCATTAGTGAAATGAGAATTTAATCATATTTAATCAGCACTTCGGCCCCACTTTTGTCTCTGACGTGCAGAAGGAAATGTAACTTTAGAGAGAGTTCCAACAATAACGTGATTACGGGGCTTGTGAAACGTGCAATACTTCTATGCAACCTGCAATACTTCTATGCAACGTGCAATACTTCTGCGCAACATGCAATACTTCTATGCAACGTGCAACACTTCTATGCAACGTGCAATACTTCTATGCAACGTGCAATACTTCTATGCAACGTGCAATACTTCTGCGCAACGTGCAATACTTCTATGAAACGTGCAATACTTCTATGAAACGTGCAATACTTATATGATCTTATATGCAACCTGCAATACTTCTATGCAACGTGCAATACTTCTATGCAACGTGCAATACTTCTATGAAACGTGCAATACTTCTATGAACTGTGCAATACTTAAATGCAACCTGCAATTCTTCTATGCAACGTGCAATACTTCTATGCAACGTGCAATACTTCTATGCAACCTGCAATTCTTCTATGCAACGTGCAATACTTCTGCGCAACATGCAATACTTCTGCGCAACCTGCAATACTTCTATTCAACGTGCAATACTTCTATGCAACGTGCAATACTTCTATGCAACGTGCAATACTTCTATGAAACGTGCAATACTTCTATGAAACATGCAATACTTATATGCAACCTGCAATTCTTCTATGCAACGTGCAATACTTCTATGAAACGTGCAATACTTCTATGCAACGTCCACCTCGAATAAACATTAAAATTACCCAGGTCGTAAACGACGTCTCCAACAGAAACAACTATCAACAACCAGGAGGATATCATTAGTGGTAGCGAGATGGCTGGTGATTTCATTCAAGGTGAGGCTTTTAAACGATAGCAAAGGTGACGCTCATAACTTGGTTGACTTGGGTTGATTAGGGGAACAGAAGTATACTGGTATACTTATATAATTAATATTATATATAATATTATATACTTATGTGGTTGGTGGTTTCAAAGATGAATTTTATTTTCCATAATATATGGGATAATCCTTCCCATTGACTTTCATATTTTTCAAGATAGTTAAAACATGTTAAAACCACCAACCAGTTAAGATATTATAGAATGGCAATTTTCTTTGGACACCAACAAACAATATCTGGGCCTCACCTTGTCTTTGTTCAACCTTTTTCCGAACTTTTTGTTTCCGCTTCGCCAGATTGCCCCGGTTGTTGCCTGTCTCCTTGACCACAGGTTGGTTCCGTTGATGATTGCCATGGTGATTTTTCTGGTGGCCATCATCTTTCTGCGGCAGGTGGGCATCTTGTAAGGCCACCAGGCTGCATCAAGCGCTGGGGAAACCATGGTTCAGAATGGAAGGTAGCCATGGAAATGCCAGGAAATTCTCAGTGAATCATAGTCACAGCCACTGAAAAAGGTGGTTTGATGCTGCAGGAATTGGGGTCAAACACCATCCAGAAATGGGTTGAGAAATCGACTCTGCTGAAAATTCCGTTCTTGGGATGTGGAAAGTCACCGAGGCAACTGGAACTTCAACACATCGTGTAACCAATCGTCCAGCAAAACTCAGATCTTCAAACGAAGATCTGAGAATGTACATAGACTTGGGGGTTATGCTCCGCGCCCGTCCCACGAAAGCATTGCTCTTTGGGAAGAAAGCTCCTGTACATCATGACATCTATGCTGGGTGGGAGAATCCCCTGAAACATAGCTCATAGCGAAAACGGGTTCTTGGCTGGAGCGAAACGGCTCTACTCAAGGATAGTGATAGCTGCAAAATCTCTTTGTGGTCAGAATGGTCAGGTCATGAGGTGATGAAGGGTTGTGGTTCACAGAAGTATCAGTATGTCTTTGTCTGGATGGTAAGCCTCAGGACTGGTAATTATAAGTCCATTTTCCAAAAGCCACTTTTTCCAAGATTACTGCATGTGTTACATGTGTTCTTTTGTCGCTCCAGAGCGCTCCAGTTGTCACTCCTGAGCGGTTGTTGTCGCCCCAGGATACGCAGGTTACGCAGGTTGAGTGGATTGAACCCACCAATCTTTTAGGATTTTAGGAGCCACCGAAGGCATGAGTCACAAGACATTTTTACAGGACCCCTGGGGGGGAATCCGGTGATTGCAGTTGAAGTATGCGACCTTTCCATGGTGCCAATTGTGTCTGTCCCGACTCTCGATTCCATTCAGGGCAAGCGTCCTTAGATTTACCCAATTTTGGGAGGTTAAACGGTTAAACATCAATGAATCATCAATGGTTATTTTGAGTGAATGAACAGTGGCAAAAAAATAACCCCCAAGGAGATTATCGGATCACCGCAGGTCAGCACTGCTCATCGGAGCATGGATCGCAGCTGGTTCAAGCCTGCAAAACACAGCAGCTTTGGGTAGATGTTTAGGATAGGGAGAGCTGCCGTAGCTGGCAGTTGCTTGGTGGCCTTTGCTTCAGCACGAGCATTCCTTTCAGGTGCTTAGTGGGAAAGAAGAAGATGGTCTGCCACACCATGAAAGCAAGGAAATGGATGGAAATGGATGGAAATGGCATGAACTAGGAATGACCAAGTGTCCCCATGTAACCCCAACTTCATCAAATTTTGTGCCACAGGTGACGTACTGCAAGAGGTCGAAACTCAGGAGGAAACACAGCCACGTCGTGACTTGGCGGCGATGGGAGGAATGGTGACATGGGGATTTCTCCGGCAAACATAGATGCATTGCTGGTTGGTGGTTTGGAACATGGCTTTTATGACTTTCCATATTAATGTTTATCAATGGTTATTAATGATGATGACACAATAACTGGTTGGTGGTTTGGAACCATGGAATTTTATGACTTTCCATATATATTGGGAAGTTCATAATCCCAACTGACAAACTCATATTTTTCAGAGGGGTAGGTATACCACCAACCAGATATGCATTATATTGACTAAAAAACGTGTCAACACATGGGATACTTGACCACTATTTGACTGCCAGATCGCAAAGATTACGGACAATGGATATCCCGGGAAAAGTGCTGATAGATTCAGAAGTGCGTTTGGTAGTTTTCAGTGTAATCGTACCACATTCCTTGGCCACACATCCGCGTAGTGGTGCGACATCTTTCAGTCAGGCCTTGGCCGATTCAAATCCAGTGGTAGCAGCACCAGCTGCAGTAGGGGTGTCAGTGGCTACTCCAGGTGAGGAACAGGACTTGGCAGATACTGCAACTCGGCGCCCTGCAATGGGGTGTTCAAATGAAGGGAGACGCCAAAGGTTCCGGGTTGGAAGAATTTTCAATGAACTTGACACCAATTTTTCGCGATCCGCAGGCTTTTCACTGTTTATACGTGAAAGCATAAAGCAGTGCAGCTGCCGTGGGGGAGTTCTGACTTCGTTGTATTTCTTTGTTCCCAAGCAATTACCAAGCAATTACCAAGCATATGTACCAGGTAACCTCTGACGAACAGGATTCGTTATCTTTCTGTGATGTTTCTCATTTGGCCTTTCCAGACGCAAAGGATGCAGATCGCCTTCTTGCGAAGATCGCCGGAAAGTGGGAGGCGACACTGTGCGGCAACCGGGGGAGGTTTCGTGGAACCGAGCTACTACTAGTAGTTCACAAGATGTTGAGAGCCAGCTTTGAGAGTAATTAGGGACAAGATGGTTATTGCACCACCAACCAGTTATTTTAATTACATAATATGGATTTGTCTGAAAATAGTGTATATTCCCAATGAAATAGCCATTTTTCATAGGGATAATGATCAGCAAAACCATTGGGTGTAGGGCTCCATCGAGTCCATGGCCGATCCGTTGGTTGGCGCCTCCAGGTGTACTACGACGGCCAGCGCAATGTGCAGTGGCTTCGATCTACGTTGATGATTAGTTGGGGGATGATACTATCCAATAGGGATTATAATCTGTTATATTATCTGTTATATGACATAATCTATGATATTAGAATGTATCTTTTTATCTATTTAATATTATTTAATAATGTATTTATAATGTATATTATATTATAATATATTATAATGATTTATACTGTATTATAATCTATTATATTATAATGATTTATAATGTATTATGTATGTATTATAATCCAATAGGGATTTTGAACACCTTGTCAATGAAACTGCATTCAACGATTCCGACTATTCCGAGACCTGGCACTGCAGCAAGCTGATTCTTCGGAGAACTCAGTGACTTAGTATGGTGCCTTTGTAGTATCATGAATTAAAAAAATATACCCATTAGATACCATTAGATACCACTATATATCATTATCATATATACAATATCTCAAATGCCGCTTCTAGAAAAAAACGAGAGCTTCGTTTAGTGCCAAGGGCGAAGCACTGGATAGCACTGGCTGAATGAACACAGTTCGACTCATTGGATCTCAGGTTTCTGCCGGTGGAAATCTCCTGTGATGGCAGATATAAGCACCTTGGAGCAGCCGTTGGTTCAACCCTTTGCGGATGCCGAAATGACCCTAACTTACCATGCTCCAATGTCATGAGAAAATGGCGAATGAAAGTTGATTTCAAGACATTCAAGACATTTCAAAAGCATGTCATAGTCATCACGCTCACATCTTTTGTGGAAATTGGCATTTCCCGTTTTTTTACCCCAGTCTTGAAGCACTTTCTCAGCCAACTTCTGTTTCCCGTACTTGCTGCACTTGCTTGTTGCTTAGCAGTCGCTTTCAGCAGACAGTCTCTGCTGTGCCTTGCCTGCCGCTGCAGTTGCCAAACGTAGGCCTCAAGATCTTTGTTGATCTCGCCTTGTTTCTTTGTCTGACTCCAATAGTTCACTGAACTCTTCGATGCAATCTAGTAACGCATATATAATAAATGGAACGTACTAAGACTAGTGGTTCACTGAATTCTTAGATGCAATGTCGTATAATACATGGAACGCACTGACTCTAATAGTTCACTGACTCTTAGATGCAACGTAGTATCATACATGCAGGGCACTAACTGTAGTTCACTGAATTCTTGGATGCAACGTAGTATCATACCTGTAACATCCTGTAATGCACTAAGTCTACATAGTTCACTAAACTCTTAGATGCAACGTAGTATGATACATGCAATGCACTAAGTGTAATAGTTCGCTGAATTCTTTGATGCAATGTAGTATAGTACATGTAACGCACTAACTCTAACAGTTCACTGAACTTAGATGCAGCGTAGCAAGTACATCTGACGTATTGACTCTAATACGGCGATGCCTCGCCGTGTTCTGTGGTAGCCTGCTGCTAGCTTTAGCTACCCGGGGGTAGCTTTAGCTACCCGGGGGCGCGCCTCTGCCGCCGACTCCCCCCCCCAAAATCTTTCAGGCTGGTGGTGTTTTCACGTTTTTTGGGGCCGGGGTGGGAAAAAAGATGCTAAAATTTATAAGATGCTTTTTGGAGGTCATTTTGGACACTTTTTGGCCGATTTTTGCTGTTTTTCAAGAGCCAAAACAC